AACCAGGGATATGATCCTTTAGAGATGTATTTTTTGTGAATTGATTTAAAACCATGGTTCTTTTGGTGATCCATTGTCAGTGATACCATCTTGGAGGCAGCAGATGGCTTATTAATATGGAGAGATTTTATTTCCTGGGATTTTTCTTCTTCTCCAGAGGGTAGAGCCATGAAGAAGAATGGAAAGAGGCCCCAATCAGCATGTTAGCATCAAGAAGATAAAGACATGATCAGATCTTTATTTTAATACATTGAAATAAGGAAACCTCTTGGAGTTAGAAAAATGGAAATAGTGGTAAGGATTTGAACTAACAGTGGAAGTCTTAAGTGGTAATTCAGTCTTCAATTTATGGCTCTGGAAAGTTCAGCCAAGTATAAGGGGATGACTGATACGTATATTTTATTGCAAAAGAACACATCATTCTATAGCCATGGTTGTGCCATTGAACTTGGCAATTATTTAGAGGAGTCAATTTCAAACTTAGCTGATCATGCAGCTAAAAAATGGGCAAAGGGCTTGAACTGACATTTCTCAGAAGAAGATATATACATGACCAACAGGTATATGAACAAATGCTCAACATCATTAATAATCAGAGGAATGAAAATCAAAACTACAATGAGATACCACCTCACTCCAGTCAGAATGGCTATTACAAAAAATATGAAGGATAGCAAGTGTTAATGAGAATGTGGAGTAAAGGGAACTCTTACACGTTTTTGGTGGGATTGTAATTTAGAGAAGCCATTACAGAAAACAGTACAGAGGTTCTTCCAAAAATTTAAAATAGAATTATCATATGATCCAACATTCCCACTTCTGGGTACATATCCAATGGATATGAAATCAGTAAGTTGGAGAAATGTCTGTATTCCTCATGTCCATTGCAGAATTATTTACAATAGCCAAGATAGGGAATCAACCTAAATGCCCATCAAGAGATGAATGAATAAAGAAAATGTGGGGTACGTACATAATGGGATACTATTCAGCCATTAAAAAGAAAAAAAATCCTGTTATTTGTGACAACGTGGCTGAATCTGGAAGACATTATGTTAAGTGAAATAAGCCCGGCATGGAAAGACAGATACCGCATGATCTCACTTCTTTGTGGAATCTAAAACGCATAGGAACAGAGAGTAGAATGGTGGCTACCAGAAGCTGAGGTGGGGTGGGGAAGGACGTTGGAGAGATGTTGATCAAAAGATAGAAAATTTGTTAGATAGAAGGAGTAAGTTCAAGAGATCTGTTGTACAACATGGTAACTACAGTTAATAACAATGTACTGTAATGTATTCTTGAAAATTGGTTAGACAATAGGTTTTAAGTATTCTCACTCCAAAAAATGATAGGTGAAATAATGCATACATGAATTACCTAGGTTTAGCCATTCTCAGATATATACATATTTCAAAGCCTCTTGTACATATTAATAAACATATAGATTTTTTTTTTTGAGACAGAGTCTCGCTTTGTTGTCCAGTCTAGAGTGAGTGCCGTGGCGTCAGCCTAGCTCACAGCAACCTCAAACTCCTGGGCTCAAGCGATCCTCCTGCCTCAGCCTCCCGAGTAGCTGGGACTACAGGCATGTGCCACCATGCCCGGTTAATTTTTTGTGTATATTTTTAGTTGGCCATTTAATTTCTTTCCATTTACAGTAGAGACGGGGTCTCACTCTTGCTCAGGCTGGTTTCGAACTCCTGAACTCAAGCAATCCGCCCGTCTCGGCCTCCCAGAGAGCTAGGACTACAGGCGTGAGCCACCGCGCCTGGCCACATATAGATTTTATTTGTCAAGTTGCATAATTATTAGTTTAAAAGGAGAATTACCTGGATAATATATAAACACACATATTCCCTAGAAAAATCCATAGACATTCTTATTTAGTTAAAATGAGATCTGGTCCAGAAATATGCATGTTTTTCAAACCATCAGGTGTTTCCGATAATTAGCCAAGCTTGGGAATTCCTGAGTTAGGCAACTATCCTGAGTAAGATGCCATCAGAGAAGCAGGGAACATAATCTTTAGTGGTTTGATGTTTGGAAGAAAAATCTTAAGAACTTAGATGAAGGCAGTAGAAAGTTACCAAAATAGAAATGGGGAAGAGGCGTCATTTGTGGGCTGCCTTGCCCAGTAACAGAGATTCTGAGCATGACTAGTTTCCTCGCTCTCTCAGCTTATATTTTTTATACTAATGTCTGGAAAATAACATCCCCAGCATGTTTTCCATTCCCCCACTGCTCCCCACAAAAAACCTCCAAAAAGACAAATGAAGAAGCAAAAAAGGGATGGAAAGAGAAAGCAAGCATGAAAGCATTTCTGTGCATTAACATATTTTCTAAGCAAAGATAGAAATATAATTCCATTTTTCATTTTACATGTTACAAAAAACAATTTAATAGGAGAAATTTGAACTTGGTAAAGCCTAATTTGAAGCCATTTTAAAAAAGCTTTGCAACAGACAATATGAATCAAATTTTTTTCTAAACCCACATTATGTTGGGTAGCAGAGCTTGTTTCTTAGTTCTTCTTTGAATTTCTTGAAATGGTAAAAGAGAAATTACAACAGTTAATTCCTGGAAGACCTGTAGACCTGGTGGATTCTAAACCATAAAATCAGGCTCTGGTCCAGGCAGTGCGGTAGCCATGGCTCGCCTTAGGACCCTCCTTAGGGCTCCTTTCCTTTGGGGACCTGAGCAATGAGCTGGGTGAGCCCTAACTCCAGCACCCTGTGCTCCTCAGCACCCATTCCAAACACTTGCTCTCCTGTGAGGCCACGAGGACTCCCTGGATGACCTCAGATAAAATATGTATGGCTCACAGATTAAAAGTCAAAACCAGAACATCATATATAAGATAGATAAAGCAATACAAAATTAAATGCCTTCTAGATAATTCAGGCAGCTGTCATAGCTTCCGAGCCCACCCCCACCCTCCCCATTCTACCCATGTGGGCTTGTCTTAAAGGCGACATACATACGGTTTCTTTTAAAAAATTAAAATATTTATATTTTTCTAAATTATAAGCAAGAGAATTCTGAATTGTTCATCAAAATCCTCTTGACCAAACTCTCATTGTAGTGGGGGGAAAGCACATGCATGTCATCTCTTTCTCTTGCTTTGTGGCTGTGGAAACTGAAATCTGGAGGGAGGATTTGTATGTGTGTTGAATAGGGCCTGCATATCTCTCTCTCTCTCTCTCTCTCTCTCTCTCTCTCTCTCTTTCTCTCCTGGACAGCGTCCCATTACACAGCCTCGAAGGTATCAGGTTCTTGCTCTTGTTTATTCCATCCTGGTTGGTGAGACCTCCCTGTCCCTGCTCGGGTCCCTTCGCCCTGTGGTTCCCAGAGAGGAACGTGAGTTTTGGAAGTGTCAGAACAGTGTAAATGCTGATGTATAGACCACAGTTGTTTCTCTCAAAAGGCCTTGGGAGCCCTCCCCTTTCCTCTGTTCCCTTCAAGTTGGGAATGATTCATCAGCTGGCCTTTAGCAAGAAAAGAGGCCCGCCTGAGGTCTGGGGCCTTTGACCTCCGTGAAGAGAAAGGTCACGCTGAGAGCAACTGTGCAAGCTCCGGAGCAAGAGCCACAGGCATAGAAACCCGAGGCGGAGGCGCCGGGCCGGGTGGAGGGGGCTGGTGGGAAAGAGTGGGAGTTTAGAAAAGTTAAGAGTATATTTCTAAGAGACTCAGTGGATCAGCTGACAGCCGGGGTCAAAGGTCATATTTATGCTTGATTCCCTGAGCATGTTACAGTAACATCTGCTTGTTAAGGGTCTTTAGGGAGCAGGCCTGTGGACCAAGTGCTCCTGACCTCCTTCTACAAAAGGGGACAGGCTAAGAGATTAGGGGTTCCTATTAACATTTGTGTTTGACTTAACACCCCCCCACACACACACACCCACCCCACTGCCCTCTCCTGGGCGTGATTTGTCAGCTACACCCCATTTCTTTTTATAATCTTGCTAAATATTTAAATGAGCCCCACGGTTGTTGGTGGGACAGCATTTGAAACTACAGAAAAGAAAGTTGGATTTCGATGGGGAATAATCTGGGTGGAAAGTATAGAATGGGAAAGATGAAGAGAGGAAAAAAAAAAAAAGAAACCCAGAAAATTCTTTATGTGCTAGAATTGAATCATTTCACAGAAACTCTTAGGCTTTTAACATCATAACCAGAATATAAAGTCCGTTGTAATTGTGCAATCAGCCTCCTAACAGGAAAGACAATTTGGTCATTCAATTAGGAGGGAATTAAAGTCAATATGAGGACAGCACACGCCATCCAGGGGACATTGAGCTCTGAACATCGATTCCACTCTTTCATTAACTTTTTAAAATTGAATCACTTTTATGCTTCTACATACATTCTCCTTGAAAAATCCCAGTTTTTATTTTCTCCTCTCAACCCAAGAAGTAGAGTTTTACGTATAAATATCGCCCCACCTCTAATTTCTGTGGCCAACTTAAAAATCAATTAGAAGCATAAAGTAATTTCTGGAATGCAGGCTAAAGGAAAAAGAAAATGTACTAAATTGCTAATTTTTTTTTTCTTTATTTTCTGAAAGAACACTGGCTGTGTGTCTGATGGCTTCTAAAGTGCATATTTTGTATTGGTTACAATTACCCAGACTTTTGTGTTCCCATTTCCCATGATTTTTTGGATGGAAGTTTCCAGAAGGACTCGGCTCAGTTTTTATAAAATCTCTTGGTGCCACTGCAGGCCTTTATTTCAGGAGCATTCACGGTTGATGCCTTAACCATTCACGTGATGTTTTGTTTTAGCTTAAATCTTCCCATAAGGGAATAAAACACGGGAGTGGGAGAAGAAGGTTTGAGATAGAGGATGTTATTTTTAGCTGGAAAAAAGTTAAAATAAGCAAGTGCGTGATATCACGTAACACAGCCTCCTCTGGGTTCCACACACAGCAAAGTTCACACAATCCAACCTTCCATGTAGCTGTATGAAAACAACATGTTTGCTATTTATAGGGAATTGCCTTGGGGAAACCAGCTCCAAGGAGGAGAATAGATTGTTCCAAGGCAAACTGGACGTGAGTGGATGGGCCTCTTCAAAGGTAAGGGCTTGGGCATGTGTGTGAGTATGTGTGTGTGTGCACACACGCACATTTGGGGTCAGGGTAGTTGGTGGTGGGGTGGGTGATGGGAGCTGTTCAAAACCACTTTGTGATTATAGATAATAAAAAAAAAAATTCAATCGGAAGTGCGTTCTGCCAAACTTCACAATAAACCTCCTAGCAGGACATTGAGATTTTCTAAATCAGGGTCAGACCCACAAGCATAAGGCCAACAAGTTCAGTGGGAAAAATGACTCTTCTTCCCAGTTCTTTTTTTTTTTTTCCTTTCTTTTTTCTTTCATTTGGAAGGGACCTCCTCATATACATGCAGAGCAATTTTCCAGTACATTAACCCAGGAGGGATCCTCCCTCTGTCGGCTCAAGAGCCAGAAAAGTTGAGAAACAGGGTGAAGGGAAGATGGATGGGCCTGGGATATAAGAGAGGGCAGTTTTTCCACTGTCCTGCCCTGTACACCTAGGACAAAGACTTCATTGACTGCAATGCTTGACATCAGCCTCATAAACTAGTAGTCGGCACAAAAGGTTGACACTTGAAAGTACCAGTCCCTGCCTTCTTTCTATTGCAGCTGTGCACGGGGGCTGGGCCTAACAGTGGTGCCCCTTTGTTAGCCCACAGGACAAGAGGTGAAGATAAATAGTGTTGACTTTAATGTAGTCACACAATTTTGCTATTTCCAGAAAGACAACATTTCCTCCCAGGCCTCACATAGGGGCCCCAGGAGGTATAACTCTCTTTCCTTTTGCCAGAGAGCAAGGGTAAGGTTGGGCTGGCATCCTCGTGAGGGTGCAGACTGGACATGAGGCTTCAAGGAAGGAGTAGATGAGGGACCAGTGTGGAGTCATTCGTGGGACCTGTTGCTTGTCCTCTGTGAGAAGGTGGTATGGTTTTCATGCATTCCAGCTTGGTCACAGTGGTTTCTTTCATTTTCTCAAGATCCCTGGAAATGGTCCTAGAGGGAGAATAAAATGGATGCAGGAAGCAAGACTGAAAACATGTGCAATTATATTATTTAAAAGATTTTTAAAAACCACCATGATATCTTTCTGATTATTACAAGTCCACAAGGCAAAATGCTTCCCTGAGAACCTTTCAGTAACAGACTTTAAGACAAGCATTTAGTATTAATAATGCAAGAATTCAAGGATCTTAGGTGCTGAAGGCAGGAACACATCAGCTGTGTGGTCTATTGCACTTGGTTGTTATGATAATTAGTTGTTATTTGAGCATCAGCATAGGTAAATTCTTTTGTGTTTTTGTTTTTGTGTCTAGGAAGAAAGAATTGAAATATGGGACACAGAGCCCATTGAGAGGTTACGGCCAAGTTAGTTGGGCTGCAGAAGATAGCCCTGCCTGAAAGTCATCCTAAGTCCTCTGACTTCAGAGTGCCACTCTGGTTCTGTCTTTTCCCTCTCTGGAGAGACTCACTGGAAGATAATGTCTGAGCCATCTGCAGTCATCAGCATCTGTCTCCAGTCAGGCCTCTCCATGTGCAGAGTGGACGCCAAGAGCTTAGAGCATCAGGCTCTGAAGAGGCATCCAAAAGTATTTTACGTGGAGGGAGGTGTGGAGGCTCAAATACCTACAGGCCCCTTATCCAGGCTGAGGAAAAGTCAGAGCTGAGACATAAATGCCAGAGGAGAGCTCTATTTAACCACCAACCGTGGAACTCAGATCAATCACACATTAGCTGGTTTTAACATTTGGCTGCATTTTCCCTCTCGTTCCCCCGTCAAGTTTCCAAGTTTAGAACTCCGTTCTGCTTATGACACCTCACTGCATTATTTGAGCATATACTTGAGAAATTACAGATCCGAGGAATTTCAAAAACTTCATTCTCTACAACTCTGCTACAATTTCATTCTAGAGAACACTGCTTGAAGCTAAGACTTAAAGATCTCTCCTTTGATAAGAAAGGATTTGAGATTGGATCTTTTCTATGAATCTTTTAAGTAAACACATCTACCCCCAAAACTAATAGTTGCAAGTTGGGCAACAAGTTTCTTGAAAATAGAGAAAGTACTGATGAGCTTCCCATTCATAGAGGTTTAACCTTCTCTTTAGGAAAACACTGTAGCTGATGCATTTACTCATGAACTTAAAGTCTTTTGTGTAACTTTACCATGGTTTGCTTTTAAATGGTCATGTGGCAATAATTTTGACGTATTGGTAAATGCTTCATGTTCTGAAGAAGGATTTCAGCAATTGTCTTCTGTTTTACCTTTGGAATTCCTGAGTTCATTATTTGTAGGGTATACTTATGTTTATTTTTGCATAAGTAGAGCCTTGATTGTTGTAACTAGCCTACTAGTTATCTCAGAATGCCACCCCCTCCCATCTTCATAGCCCAGGCCTGGTTTCTGGGGAAACAGTGGTGTGAAGCTAATTGTGCCCATCTGCCTCTGCCTGGTGGACTGTCCCCTTCCTGGTCTCAAGGCCATTGGCTCTTTAGCTCTACCATTCTCTGGGCTCTGGAATGTAGAGTGTCATTTGGCAGCTCTCAGACATGAAGTGCTAAGCTTCTTTGTAGCAGAGAAAAAAAAAAAAAAATAGCTGGATACCAAATCCAGAAACCCCAGTTTGGAAGAGTAGGAAAGAGAAAAGGTTAGAGCTTCATCTGAAAAATTTTCCTATGATGGTGAGACATGAGCTACTATTAATAGAAAATTTGCTGTGTTTTTCTGTGTCCACGTACACCTCTTCTGGCCCACTGCTCTCCAAAAGGCACGTGGTCCCACAGGCGTTTAGTGTCAGTGAATGCCTAAGGTAGAGAGGGAACATTCTAAGCCCCTCTCCTCACAAACAGAAAGTAACTGGACTCGTTTCTCCTACTTCTCTTCCCCACCCCATTTACTTGCTGTGCCTTGACTCAAAGCATGGGAAGATCTCACCACCTTGGGTTATCCTGCAGACTCTGCAGTTGAAAAAGTCTCAATATTTTCTTCTGAAGATCTTCTACCTGAGAAGTAATGAGGCTATGGGAAAATCATGGATTGGGTTCTGGGGAGACCTCAGCTCTGGTCTGTGCCTTCTTAATTGAACTGGGGCAACAATTTCACCTCCCTCAATTTTCTTATCTGTAAAATGGTCAAACTAGACTTATGTTTGAATGATTTTTTTTCTCTTTCTCTCTTGCTCCCTAACAGTGACCTGCATTATAAGTAATCATGGAAAACAAATGAGACAGCGTTTAAGAAAACAACTGGACATTGAAGAGTATAATCTCATTTAAGATACTAGAAAGGTCAGTGAATTTGACGTGTATCCACGATTAGGCATTTCCTCCACTCTATTTTTAGGCCTGTGTCATGGAATTGGAATTGATGTGTCTTTGGAGTTTTCTTAGTTCCACTTGAGGACACATAGTTTTGTGACCGCACCATTAAAAACTGACTTTCCAGGCAGTGGCTTCGGCATGTAGATGGCCCCATGGGATTCAGCGATTGGCCTGATGTCCCCAACATGAGTCCGAGTTTTAAAAATTCCTTTAAATAAACATTTGCATTCTGGCTTATTTGAAGGTGTTGTAATGCTTCCTGACAAAAACTCTAGTTCTAGTTGCATGATACAAAACCTTTAGGTAAAATGGGCATATCAATCCTTTTGTATTTATGCCAATACAGGCTGTGGGTGCCACTGTGACCGTATTCTGTGTCCTGGGAGCTGGTTTGAGCAGGTCAGCCCTTCCTTTGTCCCTCATTCACTTTATCTCTGAGAGCTAGACTATTGGTGCAGATAAAAAGAAAAGATCTTCTTTTTTGATCCTAAGGCAGAAGGACTTCCTCTATGCAAGGAAACTAAGTAAAACCAAGGGTGTGGGTGCATAATCAGAAAAAGAAAGGTTGAATTGGTTTCATTGCTCTTCTTGCTGATGTTGGCACCAAGAGATTTCTGTTAAAGGCTTATGACTACTTATGAACCTTGATGCCAACTTTACACAGACAGGGATCAATTGAATGAGAGAACCAATTTTTGGTTCTAGTTCTCTAGCTTTGTTTTCTCCTCCGTGATTCAACCTCACATGATAATAACTTAGTAAACACGTCCAATTTGACAACCTGCAAATCTCAACATTGATCTACCTCAAACTCAATGCCTGTCTCTGCTTAGGGCTCTGATTTCCTTTCATTTCCCCTTTTGCATTATTCTTACTGTCTTTGTTGTCCAAACTCAAAAATTTAGCCTTGCTTCTGAATTTTTTTCTTCTCTTTTTCTCTTGCTTCCTGTGTGTTAACAGTGATCTAATCCTATTGATTCTTTCTTCCTTCTATGACCTGATTTTATCCTTTCTATTTCTGTTGCCCCATTTAGTGAAGGATCTCAGATTTTTATGCCTAAACTACTGCAGTAACCCCCTGAGTTTTCTTTTTCCTCACTTACCTAATATAATTTGCTGCTGCAGCTACCTCTCTTCTCTATATGCTTCTATGACTTATGCTTCAACCTTGTTTTTCCACTTTTTATTCCCTCATACATTTCAATTCAATTCCTCTGCAAGACTGCCTTGAAACCTGTAAGACCCCCATAAGAGCCCTGTGGATACTTTCTCTCTGGACACTAATGCACCGTTAGCATTTACCATATACATCACTATTCTCATTTGAGAAAACACATTAAAATATCGAATACAGTCTTCTGGGGCTTCTTAGAATCATGAACACAATCACATGAAGATTATATATCGGGTCAGAAAATTGGATAAAGACATGGGTATTATCAATAATAACATTATCACTGGTTATCATTGATTGTTTCTTATGTGCCAAGAAATATTTTGAGCAATGTATTGTCCATTGACTCATTTAATTCTACAGTAACCCTATGAAATTGGTACTAAGTATTCCATTTCATAGATGTGAAAATAGAGGTGTAGAGAGGCTTAGTATGATGAGGCACATATTTTAATGGAGCTCTGACAGATTATGGAAGCCCAGCAGGAGGATGACTGCCATTCAGTTGGGAGAGGGATTGTAAAAGAGGTTATAAACGAAGAGGAAAGTTATTTGGCATTTTCCGTTTAATGAATTAGAAATGCTACTTTTTTAGTCTGATATTATTATAGTTCTATGAGCTCATGTTGCGCTCTAACCAGATCTTAAGCTCCTTGAGGATGGATATTAACTTTTTCTGTTACATCATTTAATCCGATGCTTTACACATAGCAAGTGTATATTGAGTGAATATTAATTGACTTTTGTTACTTTCAGTACAGAGATGCTGCATTTAAGCTTTTTGTTTTTGGTTCTTATTACTGTCCTAGTTAGATACTTTGAGTTAGTCTGCTACTTCAATTGTTGAGAATTAGGTTGCTTAGTATATACACTATGTACCCATCAATATTATTACAGTGATCATATTTTTGGGTTTCAGTTTATTATGAAATTTTTTGGACCTGTTTTTCTCCATTGATTCTATTTAGAAGTACTAGCTAAGCAGGGTTTGATTTACAATGGAAAGGATTAAGGCTGGTATAGGTGACCTGATGTGAGCTGCTAAAGATTTTCACAGAACTATTGCTGTTTTCTAGAGTTTCTCATTCTGGTGGTGTGACTTTTTTGATGTGCCAGTGACTTTCTCACAGCGTTGTTGAGAAGATTAAATGGAATAATAAAAGTAAAGTAATTAGAACAGAGTATAGCACATGGTAGTGTTATATATTATAAGCATTAAATATTATCATTGTCATCCTCATCATCATGTTCATGGTCATCACCATCATTACCATCATGAACATCATCATCATCATCACCATTACCATTTTCACCTTCATCATCATCATCATCATCATCATCAACTCCTGTCCATGTATCTCTAAATGTCAGTGGATATCAGTGATCAAAATCATGACATGGTTCCAGTACTAATATTATTGGGTGATCTTAGGAGAGGACTTATAGTATGAGAACTAGCTAATCCTCTCAGAGCAAAGGCAGATGTACTTCATTAATATACAAGTGGGTGTCATCCCTTCTCATGCATCATATGTGACATTCTTTCGAGTAGGGGAGGATGTGGTTGTTCTCTGCTTGGAGAAAGTATCTATGACTACCTGGACATACCTCCCCTCACTCCTGATTTGACCTTCCATCAGCATCCTCGATCCAAAAGTGGATTCCATTTACATTCTATTCAATAAATACAATTATTTTTAAGTTCATTTTAAAGTTACTAGCAAGTAAAAGCCCTGAAATGTCTAAACTAAAATTGAATTTATGGTTGATCAGAAGTTTTTTACAAATCAGTTTGTTCTTTAAATTAAATGCAATTAAAAACTGCATTAGAAAAGAGAAGTTATTTGCAATTTAAAGGAAAAACAGAGTCAAGGTAAAATATATTTTGCTGGTGAGTCATTTGTTCTTTCCAAGGGCAAATGACACATATTTAAATAAAGAGAACTAATCATTTTGAATAATAACTATTGAGACATTCTTGTCCAGAAAGCTGCATGTTCAAAAATATTGATTTGGCATTTCCCCCCCTGAATTCTCTTAAAGTAAAAACAATGTAGAGTTTTGGGTGCAGATGAATTATCAAGTACATGGTTATGGTTCGTTTCAGTTCATCTTTCATGTAACTCATTCTTTTTAGTAAAACGTATTGTCTATAACAAAAATAATTTAAAAAATAAAAGTTAAAAATGTATATATGGGTTGATAACACTGGATTTGTACATTTTTATGTTTGATCAACCCTAATGGTCTACAGTATGGGTTTACCCAGTATATAGTCTGCATTTTGAAGGTAAACCCACTCAACTGGTTAATTGAGTTAAAAAAGGAAAAAGAACAAAATCCTAAAAATTATATTTAATGGATTTTCTTAACTATTTTCCAAAAATTTTTCCTCAAACCCATTTTCAAGCTACAGTTCAAACATTCTTAAACAGACTTCAAAGTTCACTAAGAAGTAAAATAAAAATCAGTGTAAGGAAAGCAACATGAGTTTTCCTAGTTCATCGTTTATTTCTTAATTAAAAATCGGAAAGAGGTGGAAGAAATATGATCTCAAAATAAAGTTTAAAATGATTAACACACTTTATTTTTTAATTCATTGTCCTTCTCTCCTACTGCTACTAGCTGAGCTTACGGAATGCCTGGAATAAAGAAGTGTCCCTCTAGTACTTTCTTAAGAGTGCCACTGAAACATAAGGCAATGTTCCGGTGATTTTGATGAGAATTTCTGATCCTGTGCTATTTTTTCTTCTTAAAAATGGTCATAATTTTCATGAATAATAGTTGTTACCAAGCTATTTTATGAAGTAATTGATATAAATGAATTCATTGGTTATTTATGATTTTAATCAATCTGTGATCAAGGGAAATGATAAACTGGGTCTACACCAACTAGAATCAAGTCTCGTGAGAACACAAATTCAACAGTAGGTTTGAAAATGAATCAGGACACCTCGCCACTCAAAATTTTTTCCGTTTTGGACTTTAAAATATAAACATTTCTGGCTATCCAAAAAATTAGTAAGTACTCACTATAGAAATTTTAGAATTTGGGAAGACCTCCTAAAAATTATTGTCTTCTGATATAACCTCTCAAGGACAATCCAGGTTAGTCTCATGCTTCAATTCTTTGTAAATGGTGTGCAGAGTGAACATGTACAATATCTAACAGTCTGCACAGGACTTGACCAACGTGAGGCACTGCTACATGTAAACAGTTGATCTGGGTGTACTATGTTTTGCTGACTATTGTCTCTGTTGTATATATTCATATATATATCCATAAATAATTTACACATTTATAAGTTTTTATATTGGCTACAATGCGTACATATACAATCTTATACATTTATACATTTTGGATATGATAATTACAATGTTGATACTTAGACTATTCCAACTATTGTGTAGTTCTGATTAATCTGTGAAAATAAAATTGTTGCTAGGCAAATTAGAAATGCAAATTAGATTGGTGGTGGAGAATAACTTTTTAAAGTACTTCACATACACCTTCCAAACTCCTGTTTATTAGCAATGACTATGTGAAGTATAAATCATTCTTAGCAAGACCATAGCAAAGCTGAGAGAAGAACTTTAGCAGGGCAATATTTTCTTATCACCAACAGGGCTACAGCATGGAATTTTAAATAATCTGTGTGGCTGTTTAAGATATTTGTTTGTACTCTCCGCCAATCAATTCATTATTTTAGCACCACCCCCAAGCAGTTTGCTCTATGAAGTAAATATTTTACTTAATTAAAATTTTATTTTGCAATCTAACTTCATTGTTCAAAAGCAAACTGAGCTACATAGAATGAATTTAACAAATTTTTTCTTTAAGAGGCAAAATTATATTCTGGAAACATTATGATGTTGTCGGTACCAAATAACAGTGGACGTTTTACAGATTCTCAATGAGGAGTTAAGTTCACCTTGAAGCTTGCATATAGTCTCCCCCAAATGAGTATTTGTTAAATTGGAAATCCACAAGGAAGTCTTGAAGAAGCATTTTTTAGACGTTAGGAATAAAGGAAGGAGTTCCACTTTTTGGCTTATTCTTTTCCAAAGAGTCAGTCTTGGGTAATCAGAATGGTTCATGTAAGAAATAACGGGCTCATGCCAATGGTTGCCTCTTTAATATTGCAGTGATGAGTATACTCACCTTATTCTGAAAGAGGATTTCTTTGCTATAACAATCCATTTACATTTCCTGGTTATAATAGGAAAGTACACTTATGTGAGCTGTTATTGAAATGCCAAAGCCCGATAAAAAAATCAACTGAAAATTAGGTTTCAACATAAAGATGCACTTCATCACACGTGGTACCAGATCACAGAGTACCATACAGAATAGCTTTGCCTTCTCGTTTGATGTGAAGGTATTATGAGAGCACACATTTTTACGTTTATTTACACCCCAAAATGTCCTGTAACAGGGAATTCACTCCATCAGAGAAGAGCGATTTCTATCCTCATTTGTGTTTGAAACATGAAAACAACATAACAGCTGCATGCTGCATTGAATAAAGAAGATACACATGCATTTAAATCACTTATATCTTACTTTTTTATGATGCAATTGTGAATTATGTTCTTTTTGCATCTGTAATTAGAGGGCAGAACAGATGGCGAAGGCTTCGTTTAAAGTGATGTGTCCATTAAAATAACCTATGCTGCCAAATGATTGTTCACTATAACAGGGCATTCATTCACTATGGCAGGCACTTTGCTGTACTGAAATATGTTGCAAAGGCCCCTGGACTATACATGACGCTTATTATTTTTAAGGGCTTTCCAATAAAAGGGTTCACTGTAGCACAGCTAGCTTTGTACCTCATTTATCTTCTGAGCATATGTTTTACTATATTGTTCTAATTAAAAAGTGACCTTGTATATAATGATCAGAACTCAGTGCTGAAAATGATTCATATAGGAGCTGGGGACATGAGAAGACAGTCCAAGTCACATTAAACTGGGCAGTGAGAAGGGAATGGGAGTGGTGGATTGTGGGGGAGAAAATCTTTTCTTAAGATCATGAGTGCAAAGAGTTCAGAAAAATCAGCTTATCTCCGGGACATAGCAGCCTCTACTTGCACATTTTTTGTAGGAGGTTTTTTGAGAAAAACAAAAACAACAAACATAAAAGGGTAAAGATCACCATAAAGTTTGGTTCAAAGAAGGTCATATAAAATTTAATTATTTTACATTTGGCCAAAACATATTGACTTCTATGCTGTTTAAAGCTAGTGAAGATGTGTTTTGCTTTGCTTTGCTTGGGCAAGATATGTTGGAATTATTTTTGGCATATCAGATTTTGTTGGCTATAATTTATTATTTAACTTCCATTTTTATCACCTTCTAAGAGCAAAGACCTTTCAATTGTCATTTTATAGAATGCGAAGAACTCTGCAAAATAGTTAGTACTTCCCCATTATGAAGGAGAAAACAGTATTCCAGAGATTATGAGAGTGGCCTTACTTATCCAGCTGGGAAAGGCACTTAAAAAATCACAGAAAACAATAGAAGAAAACATAAATGACTTCTTTGCGTGGTTTCTGGGGAAAAGATTTTCTAAGTCAAAACTGATGGAAAACAATAAAAAACACACGTTAAAAGTTCCACAAACGAAATTAACATGCAAACATCTAAGTAGAAGAAAATACTTATGACTGATAAGAAAGGAAAATTGTTATCCTTAATATGTGAAGAACTCATATAAATCAATAAAAAAAGTATTGAGAATACAGGAGGAAATACAAAGAACAATCAAAATAATGGTGCGTTCAACTTCAATTGTATTCAAGGTATTTTAAAATAAATCACAAAAAATAATATTTTCAACTAAAACTTTAAGAACCATTTTCAAAATGTTCTCATACTCAACTTCTGATGAAGACTTAGTAAGGAGGCCTTGCGGTAAAGGAATTGTATGCTAGAAGTCTGAAAAGCATTTGATAAATTTGCACCAAGAACATTAAAAAATTGTGTGCAATTTATCCATAAGTTCTACTTTTATAAGTCACTCTTAAGGAGTTAAGCAGAAATGGGGACAAAACTTTGTGTACTAGGATATTAATAATAGTGTTATATATGGAACTAAAAAAACTTGGAAACCACTTAAATGCCACCACTTGGGTAGTAGTTTGGCAAACTGTAATATTTGCATATAATGCCCAAATATTTCAGCATTAAAAATAATAACCTTAAAATTTGGTTTCTGTTTGCCTGCAAGGAAGAAATCTTATATGAGGATGACTCACATACAATTTTACATTGCAAAATTCATTATGAAAATTTATTTCTGGCAAACTGAATTCCATCTCTCAGGCATTCTTCCCTTAAATTTTGGTTAATCAATGGGAAATTCTCATACTTTGGCAGTTTTTCTGCACCAGCCTTTCTGTGGGTAGTTAATGATCTGTAAACAACCATTTAAAGGCACCAGGAGAGTTCACCATTTAGGAGCATTCTGTAGGGAACTCTTTTGTAAAAGGAAAAGTCTTTGGATGATACAAATATTCACCCCTAAACAATTTTTTATTCGGCTTAAACTTTATTTTAAAGTCCTAGGTGGAGCTACGAGTCAACATAAAAGTATTTTTATTTCTGAAAAAAAATCACTGCCATTTTACCAGAGTGAATGTTTCCCTACCTTCTTTAGTGAACTTTCATTTAGCATTGTGACAAGAGGGTGCACTACAGACATAGAGAAATTCTGAATGACAGGGACTTGGTCTTCAGATTTTTTGAATTGCTGTTTATGGAATTCCATAAATATTCTTCCCCTCTTTTAAGGGGCATTGCTGACCTGAGGTAGAGCTTAGAGGTGAAGCAAGCACAGTTAAATTAAGCAGGCTTGCTTGGGTCTTGCAATCGTTGGGGAGGAATTTAGAAATACCCATGGGCCACCTGCACTCCTGTAATGACCCTGTGGAATATCACAGCTCTCCCTGATGTTGAATGCTAGGATCAGGGAAACTGGAATTCCATGTTTAGCCTCCTTGCCTGACTCTCATGTAATCTCCCAATGTCCCAAAATGTCCCAGTGTAGACTAAGCTTATAAGTAACACGAGGCTCAAAAGAAAATCACAAGGATTAAGGAGATAGTAGTATCAAAATAATTTTTACACTTGTACAAGAGAATTAAACACTTACTTACTGTATTATGCCTTCCTGTCCACACCATCCCAGATCGTAAAATCCTACAGAATACGTGCAAGACCTCATTCACATCTTCTTTTCCAGGGCTTCCTCCAGACACTAGCTAAGAGCCCACATTTCCTTGTTTTATAAATAGGGATTTTCTTCCCTTTCACTGGACTACACATAAAGTATCTGCCTATAGTTTCTGAGTGGAGTGCTATTAAATTCTAAACTCTTTGGGGGATGCCCATATATTCCAAGGATCAATAGTTCTGCCAGTGTTTATGTTACTTTTATTTATCAGCATCTCCTCCATCATCATTAACTGCCTCACACAAGGCCCTGGACAAAACTTAAAGATACTTTTTCTGTCCATTAGGAGCTCAGAAGCTAGTTCCTTCATGACACAATGTGATTCATCAGTAATGAAGAAATTAAGTATTTGGCATTCAAGATTCAGGTTTTTGCAAACGTAAAAAATATTCTAGACATACTCTTTATCGATGTAAAATAGAACCAGGACATAAAAGGAGTTCAGGACTAAGGCAGAGTGAAAAATAGCTGAATATGCACTGAAATGTGGTTGCCAAATATGCCAGAGAAAATGGTTCTTTTGTGTTTTTTATTATGAAAACTCAATTTTAAAATATCAATATTTTACGCTTTAATTTTTGATCTCTGACCAAGCTATTTGTCAATGTTGGAATGGTGTTCTGCAGCCACTCCTTATGTGCTTTTACATTGTGAAATGGGTCTTTGGTGATCATTCTTTTTCACTGAGTGCATCTATCTTTCTAAGTTAAGACTTTCTGTTTTTACCTCCCAAAAGGTTACGTCTATAATAATTGTGTTATTCTACCTGCCAGTGGCCATTTCTCAATTATTCTAACTGAAGAATTTGTGGTTTCCAGAAGGAATATGCTTCCCATTTCTTCCTATACATACATGTTTGCTTAATGAATGCTTGTGGTTTGTTTCCTCTGCCCCAGAAAATTAAAAGGCCAGAGATCAGAGCAGAAAATGCTAATTCAAAGGCTGAGCATGGCATGGTTTGAAGCTTTTGTCGGCCTGGCGAGATGGTTTGGAATTCGATGGTTTATTCAAGGGGTTTCTTCTGCCTATGCAGGTTTTAATTCTTAAAGGTCAATCCAAGAAGCTTTGCAGCTTTACATATCTGGCCACCCAGGTAAGCCAAGTGTGTGTGTGTGTGTGTGTGTGTGTGTGTGCTCGAGGGCATGTGTGTGCGTGTGTGTGTGTGTGTGTGTGTGTGTGTGTGTGCATGTGCCTGCACACAAATGCCTCCAGACCTTGAGCATTAATTCCAGTTGTGAGTGAAAGTGATGACTGACATGTTTTCACAGAGGACAGTTTTCAGGTCTTGAAGAGACCTGTTGGGATAAACACATTCAAGATAATAGCATTGGAGCAGGACAAAAGCAACATCATTGTGAAAATGCCTTCAACCTGAAACATTCTGATGGAACTATGCATGAACAATGGACACAAAACTGCCTAATGTGGTATGTAAAGATAGCAATAACCCTTAATGGCAACTGTAAAATGAAGCATTATGTTAGCCAGCAGAAAGGAAAATGCAAATTGATTCTCTTTTTGTTTAGGTGTAAGTGCTTATCAAGGTTAGTAGGTATTCAAGGTCTGCGACACCAGAATAATTTGTTTTGTTATAATACATGTAAAAGAAGAGCACTTGGGGCTTTCTGAGTGACTCAGATGGCCAGATAAAATTGCACAGCCTGGGATTTAACAATCTTCTCTCAACATATCTCCTACTCTCTCTGATGGAAGGGAAGGAGATTCGGAACTGAAACGCTTTCAAAAGTGAGATGGTAGAATTAATCGTTATAATGGATGATAGCTGGTAATATTTCATCCCTCAGTGAGATTACAGAATTGACACTTGCATTTTTACTTGAACTATGTCATAGCTGCCTAATAAGCAAAGGCTTTCCAAGCTCCTTGTCTCCGGTACCTGGACATTGGCAAGATGTTCGTTCTTGATTCTCTCCAATCACAGAGGTTCATTGGACAGAGAGATTAGGGTGTATGCGAATCAGTTTGGCTGGACTATAAACCATACATAGCTCAACCACCAGATCTCCATCACTACCAGATCTAAAGTCTATAGAACCCTTTCTTCTGGCCCTGTTGCCACCCTTGAATAACAGCTTAATCTATGGATGCTGTCATGGAATGACACCTATTGTTGGATGAAGCAGTTTTTGGCAATGCCTTGATGCATCTCTATCCAGATGGTGGCTCAGGAAGAGGGAAGCTGGGAGGGCAGAAGGAATCACACTGATGGGCAAACCTTTTCATTTGGAAAACTGAGCCACTGTGAGAGCTACCGAATGTCTTCTTTGAATACAACTTATCTCTAATGACAAAGCTAGTTTATGAAGATGTTGGCAATGCTCAGAATTCTCTTTGAGCTGTTAGGTAGATGCAAAATGCAACTGGTTGTTCTTAAGCTCATTAATGAAACAGACAAAGCCAGCTCCATATGTGTGAACTTAAATGCAGAAATGGATACATCTCCCCAATTCTTAAGATTTTGGTTATTAGGATCTTGCTTTGGGTAAATTACTGAGCGAAATCATCTTTATAAACAATTGGGCCTTTTATAGGCCCAACTTGGTGAGTGGTAGAATGATGGAATTAGCTAGTTATTTACTACTCCATGGCATTGTATAGGAGTGATACCAAAAACATGCATGATATAGTCACTTTCCTCAGGGAACTTAAAATCTAATTTTTGGCTGGATGGTTTCTGTCCTCTCATGCAATTGCTCTTAAAATAAATAGGGCATTTTTTTTTTTCTCTTGGGAATTCATCATTATCTGTCAAGGGAAAATAAATCACCAAGAAGATTTATACTGATTAAGAAAATAAAAGATAAAAATAAAACAAACTGTATTGGTGGTTTCTTTGGTTTTCTATCAGCATAAAAGAACTTGAGCTAGCTTAAAAAAAAAAAGGATGTAAGGATACGGAAGGTGTTATGGAGGGACTGAATCAAATGGCCTCGGAAAGAGTAGAAACATGTCAGTCATGGGACCTCAAAGGGCAATTGATTCTGGGAACTTTCTCTTGAGACATACGATTAGTTAGCTCAGCTCCCAGTATTTCTCTGTTAAAATAAAGACATTCCTTAAAAAGAGAACCTGATTGGCCTAACTTGGGTCTCACCCAAGATAGTGTCCAAAGAAGCAGGATGATAAAACTCACACATGGCCACTGAGGGACCTTTCCTGGGCTGAGGGGAAGTTTCCAAGGAAGGGAAAAGTGTGAGTTAGATAGACACCCCAAAATATGTCACGTACAATGGTGGAATAGTAAGGGTTCTCATTCTTTGCAAACACTGATCCCATTTAAGAGGGACAAATGCTGGCACGATGACAATTTCAGAATGGCACGGAGTTTACGTTTATAGAAATTGATGATTTGGAGCAATGTGGCAGAGTTTGGAGCATGATGGCATATCCTCCTTTTCATCACGGTTGTCTCTCTCAATCTGTTGTTTCTCATTTTGACGGTCAGGCTACTAATAACTGCATTTGTGGCCCAAATGGGTCAGCAATAGTCCCCTGACCAAGTGACACTGTGGTTTCAGAAGAGGAAGTGATCTTGATTCTAGAATAAACTCCAAGTACCACCATAGCATGGCACTTGGGGCCTTTTTAAGTCTGACTCTTCCTTATACAGTGTGACTCCCCTTTTCAGCACCGCCCCCATGCCACCTTGATATGTAGTGTAGGCACATTTCCAGAGGCACATAGAACTTCTTGTGTTTTCTTGAACACATAGTATATTTTCCACATGGGTGCCCTTTTGCTTATGCCATTTTTCTGACCTGGAATGCAGTCCCTCTCTTCTACCTGGAAAGTGCCTATTGGTCCTTTAGAGAACTTAGCAGGGTTCAAATACCACCTCCTCCAGGAAGGCCTCTTTGTCCCAAGCATCTGTCAAGTCCTGAGAACATGTGCTCCCAAAGATGAGGAATATGTTCCTTTGTCGCCTTTGCATTCTTCACAACAATCCGGCCCAATGCTGGCACACGGAATGCTTTTTGAAAGAAATGAGGCCGTGGAAATGTGAATACGAACTGGAGACTTCCAGAACATCTCTTCCCGCTGCTTCCCACAGCCATGCAGCTGTCACCTGGACCTTCCGCCTGCAGCCTATAGGTGGCAATGAGAGGTTTCTCTCTGATGCTTTTCTTTCCTTCAGGTCTGATGGCAATGACAGATCATGCAGAAGCATGCTGTGTTTGGAATGAAACCAACACAGCAACAGTGGTACACACACTTCAGTCCCCATCAATCTTAGCAGGATTTTTATATGGGGATTTTATGACGAAAGGCTTCATATCCCATCACACCTTCCCTGAGCCATCCACTCCCAGGGGAGTGTTTGTGTACAATTGCAAAAAAAGCCAAGAAAATCTGCAACATATTGTTATTTCTCAAGGTAGGCGGACTCCATTGTTCCTGTTGCGGGCTACACAGACCCACAGGCTATTTGGGTGTATGATGAATATATATTCTATATAGTCACATATTCGTTTGCACAAATTGTATAAGTATATACCTGCATACAGCAACCTTTCCTGGTCACAGGGTGATAAATCACATGCATACAAAAATAGCAAAGGAAAGGAAAGGAAAAATGATCACTGTTTCCACCGCTTTATAGATAAATATCATTTGTATGTCAACAGTGTGGGCAGAGGTGCAGAATTGTAAATGAGGTGAGATATGGGTCTTCCTAAATCTTTTGCATCTTTCATCTTTTTCGCTGTGTCCGTTTTCGTGAAATCTGCTTGCTGACAATTAGGGCCAGTGTGCTAATTTGCTTAATTTGGGATTGGAGGGAAACGTGGAATGATTTTGAACTTCTCTCAGAATACAGGGGAAGGGCCATCTGTCAGAATTAACTGGGTGTACAAATCCCTTTTGACTCATCTTCTCTGACAACAGGGTGGAAGAGTAACTGGTCGACCACAGCGTACCCTCTATTCACAGTGAGAAATATACTTTCCCTCTGAGAAGTCCATCAGTTAGCATAAACAAGGAGAAAGAGAAGGAATAACTTGGCAGGAAGCTCTGACTCTCCCCCTGCCTCGATTGAAGAGATCATCAAGGCAGGAGCCTGGCTGTAAAGTATCCCTCTCTTCCTCTGATGAGAGTGACAATCGAGGTGCCTGGAATCAGAGGGCAGGCTGCTCTCCTTTGGCAAACAAACACCCACTCTGGTAAGTGCCTTTTAATGTGCATCAAGTCTTTGTCTAGGAAAAGGATGCACAGTTGGCAAGTACAGAGCTGTAAGGGGATAGCTTTGACATGCTGATAAAGCTTCTCCGTTTACTTTGGACTTGACTTTATCATTTACTGAAGGATATTATTAGTGTGGAGATGATAGCCACTCTCTGACTTCTCGAACGAAAGCCAGTGAAATGTATACGAACAAAAGGTCTGTTATGGAGAACCCTACCCTGTTTGTTCGGTGACTTTGGGATCCTAATCATACAACTTAACAGAGATAAGGCCCGGAGCAGAGGAAAAGAGCCCACCCAGTGTGAGGCCCCCAGGAAGACCAGTGAAAGTCAGTCGTGTTAAAAATGGAAGCTCCTCCAACTCTGAGCATGTGTGTAGTTTTCCCTTATTGCAAATTTGATATTATAAAAATAGATTTGCTCTTTGGAGCCAGATGGCACCGCAGTACTTCTGAAGTTAAATCCAGCCTTATGATGACAATGTCCATTGCCAACAAGAAACCACTTGGACTGTGATGCCAAACCCTTCAGCTCTTGGTGAGTCCTTTGCATCAAGCAAGCACGTATGAACCTGTTTGAGTGCAAATATACGTACATTCCCCTGACAACAATGTGGATCGTGCTAGAGACGTGTTCTTGACTATTATTTTTGGTGGAATCTGGGTTTTATTGGTCATGTTTTTGTGTTTTTGTTTGTCATCTGCCTCATTCTTGTCTGAAAAAAAAATAAAGAACACATAAATGATAACCTTGGCACTTGATCATCAATTAGCTGGTTGCTTTACAACATGATTTCACTGTTCATTTTCCGATGGTTTCATTGATTGACTGATTGATTGATGCGACCATTAATTCAGCAAAGTCTGCGATGGCACACAGGCAAGATCATAGGGTCTGGCGTGGAAAGATACACGTTGGGCTCATTAAGATATGGCATTTAACAGCCTCGTCATCTTGAGAAACCATTTATAGTTTTCTCAACTTTAGTTTATATATATTATATGGAATATAATAATAATGATGATACCTAAAACATCATTTGTGAAGGTGATTTATAAACTCTGAGACACCATGCAAATGCTTTTATTCTTTTATTCACAGGCTACAACTATTACTGGAATATCATACAAGTGAATAAGCATATTTTAAGCATCTATTCTGAGAACTGTGCAATGAATTTTGTAGATAAAAATATTAATCTTACAGAGATTCTGTACTTCAGAAGGTTAAAGTTTAGGAGAGGAATATAATTCAGTCTTAAGGACAAAAACCTAGTCATAAAAGTAAAATTTTTTTATACGTTATTTATTTGTTTATTTGCCAGACAAGGCTGTCAACATTGTGATTCTCCATGATCCTCAGCTCTGATATGGTACCAATTATTTTAAGATATGCTACAAGCCCCTCTAAACATAATAGATTGTTTTTATTCAAAAAGCAATATTTTGCTTGCTAAAGAATTTCTTAATTTTATGGTAGTTAGGAAATTCGATGGCTACTACATCCAGGCCACTTTCCTCTGTTTTTTTTTTTTTTTTTTTTTTTTTTTCAGTAATAATTGGAGAATATAGTTAAAACCAAATATTCAATTGTTTAAGCAAAGTTTCCACATGTAGGTGTGCCAAAAAAAAGTATTTAAGCTTTTTGGCTATTCTACTTATTAGTTATATGATTTAAGAAAGTACTTAACCTTCTGAATTTCAGTTCCCTTATGTGTAACAAAATGCAATAACAATGCCCTATTTTTAAAGATGAAGCATAAAAATATGTGTAGAACCACTGTATTAATTAGATACAGGCTTCTGGGGTTCTGTAATGAAGAGAGCTAGACATACAGTGGCTTGAACAAGCAGAAATTTCCTGTAGCAGCCTGGGTGGGGTTTCCTGGGTACCTGAGCCTGGGAGGACCAGTCAGGCTCTATCAGAACCTGCTTCCACCAGGATACCAGCAGGTCAGGTAGACTAGACAGACAAGGGACACTATCTGGTGAGCAGAGAGGCTGGCCAAGAGCTTCCAGGATCTGTAGGGACCTCTGTCTGCCCTGCTGCCACAATAGTCCTCAGAGAAGTGATCACCTACAGGCCTGGGCATCACCTCATGGCCTCATGGGAGTCCCTGCTGCTCCTCTTGTGTCATCTCCTCTCTCAGCACCAGTTGCATTTTCTTTGTTGTAAAAATCATAATGTGAACAATATTTGTTCTTGTTTTTCCTTCCATAAAGGTGTACTCTGTGCCAAAGGAGGCCTTATAATATTGTGAAACTCAGATTAAAGTTGTGGTTACACAAAAGTTGTGGAACATTACGTGGTGTGTGTGTGTGTGTGTGTGTGTGTGTGTGTGTGTGTATGCGTGTGCATGCATACATGTGTGTAAGTATCAATGCAAGTGCTTGTGTGGGAAAGGATTCGTTCAACCAGGCAGAAGGGTGCAGCTGTGGGAGAGGCCCCTTACACAGGCTCTGGGAATTAGCTTGCTGGAGGAGTCTAAAGGGTGTCTTTTGCCCGATGGGATTTAATGACCTGGGGTTGCCAGTGCTCCCCCAGACACCAGTCAGCTCAGAGATCAGAGACTATGTGGCTGCAGCGGAGGGCTCCCATTTCCCCCAGAGGCCATGGGACTTCCAGGCTCTGGGAAGGTGTTACAGATGGTGCTGCAGGTAAGTGTCAGATGGGAAACCAGCATGCATCCTTGTCACCTCCCCTTCCTCAGAAGCCAGTTGCCTGAGTCTCTCCACGCTGCCAGCAGAGGCTCAGGTGCCTGGCTCTCTGCCCTGCTCCTAGCGTTCTCTTCGACATTGCAGCTTGTGCACCCTGCCCGTGGAGTGTGAGAAATCACAGGCAGCAGAGGCCTTGGGAGAGGCCACCAAGCAGGGATTCTGGCCCTGGCTCTCCTTTACATCTCTCTTCTGTTGTACTTCCCTCGCAGACGACGGGTTGCAAAGTGTCACGCTGTGATACCCTAAGCCAGGATTGGACCCAAAGACAGTGGAAGCACAGGCAGTCAGCTAATGTCCCTAGTGCGGTGAAAGGAAGATGAACCTGTCTTAGGGGAGCTGGTTTTACCTATTTTGAGTCTGAGGTGATGCTGAAGTGACAATGTGCAAGTAGTTTAACTTGCAATAACAGAACCTGG